CGTCTAAAAAGAAAAAAAATTCGTTGCTGATGGTGTAAATGTTATTTTCTGACTTACCTTCTTCTAAATGAACTGTCACACACACACACACACACACACACACACACACACACACACACACATATATATATATATATATATATATATATATATATATATATATATATATATATTATGAAATGGACAAAGTCCGAGAATTATTTTAAGACATTTAAGACATCAACAAAATAAACCACTGCTAGTAATGGACTACATAGCATATTACGATGTTTACCTGCCTCTCGACGAGGTAGACTGCGGCACACGCCAAATTTAATGTGGGGAAATGCCCGTAGACTACGCATACGCTAGATTGGGTATCTGTCTACCTAACCCGGACGAGACTCTGCCATTCGACATTATTTCGTCCGGGTTTTATGTTTATACGTTCTTTTTATAGATACAAATATTTAAGTTAATGCTCTGTTTATAATAAACAGTGTTAACGACATTTACAGGTCTGAATGCCCGAGAAATTTTCATAGAAAATATTCGTCCTCCGACAGGAATCGAATCTGTATTCTATACGGAACCGTCATATAGCCTGACGTGCTTTTAACCAATTGGGCCACAGTGGATCGTTCGGTTATCAAGATCGATTGTACTGCCTTTAAATTAGAATCTTCCATGATTCTCTCACGTACATTCATATCTGCTCATGGCGTATCCAAATGTAAACAAATATCGTCACACATTATGAAATGGAGAAAGTCCGAGAATTAGTTAAAAACATTTTTATGTTTAACATTTTTTTTTCATAGATACAAATATTTAAGTAAATGCTCTGTTTATAATAAACAGAATTAACGATATTTACCGTCCTGAATGTCCGAGAATTTTTCAGAAAATGTTGTTAATACTGTTTATATATTCTGATGCATGCCCATTTACCAAACCAGAGACCTAAGCCGACAAATGACTTCATGGCATATTTTACTGATTAGTTTTGTTAGAAAAGAACAAAAAACGAAGATAACACATATTTTATATAGATAAATGTGTGAGCTGTACTTGCGAGAACAATTTTTTTGTATTTAAGTTATGAGCTACCAGGAGTACGCTTAACTTCAGTGATGGTACGGAACCAATGTTTCAACGTGATATGGCCGTTATCCTATGTTCTTTTCTTGCATACGTGCATCTATTTTCTCCCCTGGATTTCAAAAATGTAAAAATTGTTAAAAAGCTTTTTTTGACCGGAGCGCATTTGATTAATCTGTTTGGTATTTTTATGTCTTATTATTATTATTATTATTATTATTATTGTTTAATTTTCCTTTGGTTTCTGGTGTATACTCATTTCTTTTCGGATCCCGACAACAGACCTAATGTCAGAATTGGCATCATGACATCTTCCACTGACCAGTTTTAAAAATAAAAATAGCACATATTTTACATATAACAAGCCGTTCGTAAGGCGTGAGCTGTAATTGTGAGTACAAGTTTTTGTATTTCTTTAAGGCATAGGCTACTAGGAATCCCTTCAATGATTCTGTTGGAACCTTTTCCAATTAATCCGAGGACTCCAACTACAAATGGAATTATTAATGTTCCCATGCGCCATATTCTGAGATCTCGATTTCATGGTTCTTGTATTTTGATAATTTTTGAAGATCTTAAAGGTACACTACGGTCTGCTATGTAAATAAGGTGAAACATTTTGTTGTTGGCTGTCTCTATTATTATTATTATTATTATTATTATTATTATTATTATTATTATATACTACTAGAATATTCGGGTATAAGGGCTGTTTTCGATGGTATAAAAGTTAATGAAATTAAATATATTCTTAACTACCAGCCATACCCAATTGGTCGATCAGAAAAAACGTTCTATTAGAATGACGCAAAACAGCATTATGTTTAGATGCAACAGAGTCTATCTTCTTCAATAACTTTAAAGTACTTTCATTAAGAAACATTTTGAATTATTGCAGTTATTGATATAACAGAAGTAGTCTGTATTTATTCAATCGATGTTAGCCGAGGACATGAATGGATAAAGCAGGCAACATGAAGACCAACTTCAAACCAAGATGAAAATTGGTTGAAAGATCAACGAAAACTAAGAAAGAAACCAATAAAAATCACCATGTTTTACTATTTCCGTGGGTTTTCCCTATATGGGAGGACTCATTTTTCAAGTTATATGACTGTTAAATAATCGACTTATTGTTGGTTAAAATTGGGGGAATTTTTCATTAGATTGCTTGAAAATTGAGGGATGTTTAGTTTAAAGTTTGTGTTGAAATCGATGTTTCATTTTTTGTGGTTTTTCGCTAAACGCAGTGGCGTAGAAATAAGAATGATGTATCGTTGAGCTCGTCATGTTGTAAGTAACCTACATGCCGAGATTGGACGAAATCTGAGAAAAAAGTTGAAATTATTTATTTTTGATCGGCTTTATCGTTTATTGACTTCTTAAAATTTATCGATTTAGCGTAAGCTAAGAACCTGTCCTTTCTAATGTAAAATGTATGTGCCAAGTTTGGTCAAAATCGGTTGGATGGATCTCGAGTGAAAAGATATCACACAGGCACACCAGACACCCTCTGTTTTATATATATATATATATATATATATATATATATATATATATATATATATATATATATATATAGATGGATAGATAGATAGATAGATAGATAGATACGGCCAGAATATTCTGGCCGTGCTCATAATGTTCATAATATTATTAAGGGTTGGTTTCGTGTTCTTTTTTATAATAAGAGCTTACATCACTTTTAAACCTTTTGATGCAAGATTATAGTCATATAGCAATATAAAATCCATAACAAAATGGTGTATACTTTTTCGGTCTAACAAATGCTTTTACGTGGCACGCGAATTTCGAAGTGCGGTCGAGTATCCGTTCAAACCGAAGAGTTTCACATCAACCAAACACCAGTAAAATTCCAGAAACTGTGGCAAAAATTCTTGAATGCATCCACGAAGATTGTCTGCGAAAGTTCGTACATGTTTTGAATCAGTTATAAAATCTTTCAAGGGATACCATCTGTGAAAATTACGATTACCATCACTTTTGGGAAAATGTTTTCGGTATTTTTGAATAAATTATCTTATTCCAATAAATTCACATAATAATATTTAAAATATTTTCTATAGTTTTTTAACGAGTTGACAATAAAGGAAACTGGTTTATTTTCGTCAAATTCCCAACCGTAATATTTCGAATATTTTTGTAAATGTTGATGAGACAAGATGTGCCGCGTAGTAGAAAACAATTATGTCATTTGAACAGAAGTAATTGTTTCCTGTTTAAGATTGTTTTCAGTTATTGCTAAAGTCTTTTCCTTTTCTTTCATTTTCAGTGGCCGCTAGCGTCTTAGTTTGCTTTGCTTGAGGTGAATTGATTATTATTATTATTAATAATAATAATAATAATAAAAATAATAATAATAATAATAATAATAGAGAAATACACAAAATTGTTCTCACGATTACAGCCTACACCTTACGAAGGGTTTTATCTATGTAAAATATTTGTTTTTGATCTTTTTTTTAATAGCTCAGTGGAAAATGTCATGATGCCATTTCTAAAGTTAGGTCCGTGGGCGGGATCCGGAAAGAAATGTGTACACATCAGAAATCAAAGGAAATATAATAATAATAATAATAATAATAATAATAATAATAATAATAATAATAAACAAGTTCAAAATGGAGTTTCAAATGTGGCCCTATTGTAGTTGGAGCCCTAGGATTGGTTAGGAAAGATTCCAGTAGACTAATTGAAGGGATTCCTGGAAGCCCATACCTCAAAGAAATACAAAAAATTGTTCTCACGAGTACAGCCCAAACTTTCCGAAGGGCTTTATCTATGTAAAATATGTGTGTGTTTTTTTTTTGTTTTTTTTTTTTTTGTTTTTGTTTTTTGTGAGTGTAAAGAGTCATGATGCCTTTTCTAACCTTAGGTCTCTGGGCTGGATCCGGAAAGAAGTGTACATGCCAGAAATCAAAAGAAATAAAAACAATAATAATAATAATTTTCTCTAAGGGGTTGATTTTTGAAAAGATACCTTATACAGAAGGATTTGGGTTTGTTGCATAGAAAAAAAAATTCGTAAAATCTTTAAAAATAGGACACATTTTGAAGAAAGTACCATTTCGATACTGTAATCGCTTTGCCAATTTCGTCTCATACGGTTTTTGTACAGTGTGAATTAATGACTTTCAAATCACTGACTCAAGAAACTTAGACTTCACCATATAATACCGACGAGTCACACGATGTAACACGCTGTGTGTTACAACTGTTGTTTCTATAACAATTAGGAATTTACGGGATGCAATTTCTAGCCCCATACTCAATCGGTTTTGAATTTAGAATTTTCCTTCTCCTAGACTGGTTGTCAGTTTAAAGCTGAAGATCACAGTCTGTCTAAATCCTAGCTGAGGGGAGAAGAAATTGATTCATATCTTTTCCAAGGGTATTTGAACGAGAGGAAATATAACAATCTCGATTGGAATTCGAACACGGTTCGTTGATATCTGGTTCTTAGCTTTCAACCAGTTTGACACACGCACAAAAATAATGTTTTTCAGGTCATGGGTCAATAGTTATCTATCCTCACTATCCTCCTAATCTTTACTCCCGACATTTTTTTACAGTGATATTCACCTCGTACAAGTTCAAAGAGACAATCTAGAGCGTTACTGTGTAAGAGGCACTCCCCCAAACAAGGTGATAATACCACCAACACGCAACAGAAAATGGAAAAGAAGGGAAAAAAACATTCAAAGGAAAGGAAAACCCAATCTTATGCAGGAAACAAAGGATAAAACTCTACTTCTGATCGGGTACTTCCTTTTTTTCTCATTTAATATATTATTCATCATAAACATTTAAAAAGTAACACTCTATCTTGAGTGGCGCGTGGGGTTGGTATTTGGAATCCTATTGCAAGAGATATTAAATAATTTCTTATTACTGGCATGTCACAATATCCTGTTGGCAAAATAAATGCCTGAGAATAAGCGAGAGGCCGTGATAATTCGTGTATCAACCTTGCTTACTCGGTTCGCAGCAACAATAACATTTACCCCCGGCATCAACCTTGACGGCGATGAATCATTAAATAGGGCGATATAGATAGATAGATAGATAGATAGATAGATAGATAGATAGATAGATAGATAGATTTGAATAAGATAGATTTGAATTAGATATGCCGATACATACAACTGAATACATACATACGTACATATACTTACGAATAACACACACATATATATATATATATATATATATATATATGTGTGTGTGTGTGTGTGTGTGTGTGTGTGTGTGTGTGTGTGTAGCTAGCTAGATAGATAGATTTGAGTTAGATATATACATACATTCTTAGACTAAAGAAAAATGGATAGATAGATAAAGAGATTGATAGATTTGAATTCGATACATGGATTTATTTGTATAAGATATATTTGAATAAGTTAGGTTTGAATTAGATATACAGATACATAAATAAACTCGAATATATACATACATATACTTGTCAATAACATAGATTTATAGATATATAAATAGATGTGTGTGAGATATATAGATACATACATACTTAGACTAAAGAAAAATTGATAGATAAATAGATACGAACAGACTGACGCAGATAGAAAGATGGATTTGGATTAGATATATAGATGCATACATACACTTGAATTACATAGATAGATAGATAGGTTTGAATTAGATATAAGCATATATGTGAATAAGTTATATTTGAATAAGATGAATATATTTGAATTAGATATATAAATACATGTATACACTAGAATTAGATAGAGAGATGGACAGATAGATAGATTTGAAAAGATTCAGATAGATAGATAGATAGATAGATAGATAGATAGATAGATAGATAGATAGGTTTGAATTAGATATAAGCATATATGTGAATAAGTTATATTTGAATAAGATGGATATATTTGAATTAGATATATAAATACATGTATACACTAGAATTAGATAGAGAGATGGACAGATAGATTTGAAAAGATTCAGATAGATAGATAGATAGATAGATAGGTTTGAATTAGATATAAGCATATATGTGAATAAGTTATATTTGAATAAGAGGGATATATTTGAATTAGATATATAAATACATGTATACACTAGAATTAGATAGAGAGATGGATAGATAGATTTGAAAAGATTCAGATAGATAGATAGATAGATAGATAGATAGATAGATAGATAGATAGATAGATAGATAGATAGAATGATCTCAAAAGAGAGTGAATAGAACATGGATATAAATACATGGCCAAGATTTTTCAAATGAAAAATCAACTGAGAAATAGATTGAATGGCAAAATAGATAGATTTGTTGTAATGAAAACGTGAAGATTTTTGCGCTTAGTCGTTCTTTCGCCTAGAGATACTTCCAAACTGCTTGTATATTAAATCCCTCAATTGCTTTCGCGCCATGCTGTGATTGTTATGCAATCGCATTTGATCGTTGTCACAGCGACCTGGTGTTATTGATTAGCTCAATGTCGCGAATTGGACGGAGAAAAAAGCGCAAAATCGTTTGCCAAACTCATTCACTCTCTATTTTAGACTATTAATTTGTCCCCATTTTTTCATTTACACATCTTTCTCCTCATATCCATCTATCTATCTAACATTTTCAAATACATACATACATACATACATACATACATATATATATATATATATATATATATATATATATATATATATATATATATATATATTAAGGTGTATTATATTTATGGGATAAAGTGCTCAATATCAGAGATAGAGCGTGTAAATATAAACGTGAACACTGCTGAAGTCAACACTTAGAGGCGGCAGTCTGTTTCATGCTAGACGCAATCGTGAGGCCACGAGTGCTGTTTATATACACGGGTCAGTGGTGCATTGTCGGTAGTCTATTTTGGCGGTTATTTTACCGGAAGTCGTTTATTTGTTTATTCATTTGGGTTAAATTATTTTGCTTGTCATTATTTATTTTTATTTTTTTATTTTTTATCTTATATATTTATTTATTTTATTTTTATTTTAATCGGTGTTTTTATTAGCGTAGTAAAAATGTCTTTATATTGCTTATTTAATAGTTTTGTTTTGGTTTGGGAAGATAATTAATGCTATTTATTCAATTTTGGGGTTGATTGTTGTAGTTTATTCTAACTATTATTTTGGCGGGAGCAGTTTTTACTTTGTTTATACTTCATGTATTTATTTGGATTGATTATCTTTATATGCTTTTTCTTACGGTTAATTTATCGGGATCTCTTTGTTAGTTTATTTATTTATTTGGGTGAATTTAGATTAATTTATTTTACTTGTTTTTTATTATTTATTTATTATACTGTATATTTTTATTTACTCTTTTCGGTTTTCGATTTTTGAGTAACGTAGTATATTTTTTTCGTTATATACTAGTTATAGTTATGTTTTTTCGTCTAATTTTTGGTTCGATTTTTATAGTCTAAGTAAAATTTTGGTCATAATGGTTTGTTAATTTGTTTATTATTTATTTTATTTATTTGGGTTCATTGGTTTTGTCTTTTTTATTTTTATTTATTTATTCTATTTCATTTATTCTAACGGGCGTGATTAGGTAATTTGTTTGGGTTAATTTATTTTATTTATTTTATTGTCGTTTTGTTTATTTATTTATTTTATTTTTAATTTATTTTATTTTTTTTCAGTTTTCGATTGTTAAGTAACGTAATAAAATTTTTTTTTCATGTCTGCATTTTTGAGATGAGTTCGGATTTGTTATTTAATAATTTATTTTGGTCTGGGAAGGTAATGATAGCTATTTTTTCCCACAAGCAAAGTTTACAAGTTTTGGATTAGTTATTGTAGGCTGATGATCTTTTCTTATTTTCCAAAATATTTTTGGTGTGATGTGCATTTTGTTTTTAATTTCCCAGATATACTTAGCAAGCATTGTGCTGTCCGCATATTTACTATTTTTGAATGCTGTTTTGTGTGCATAATTTCTTTGTTTCCAGAGTCCTACACTTACTCCTATGTATACTTTTTCTTCATTATTTTGTAATTTTGGTTTGTGGTTTGTTATATTACGTTGTTTTGTAAACAATTGCCGTTTAAGGGACATTCGTTCTATATTTTGCAGTTACACGTGGGTTTAATTTGTTCGTGTGGTTTGTTGATAATTTTCCTGTTATGATTTTTATTATTTGTGCTATGTTCTCGGTGCAACCGTAGCTGATTTTTACTGTGTTTTTGTTGAATATTTTTTATAGGGTGCTTGGTTCCGGGAAGTGTTTGTATAATAGTTTAACGAATATTTTCCCTACGTTTTTTTTTTTTCGCTTTGGCTGTACGGTGGGTTGAACCAAATATTTCTTTTCCTGGTGGCCTTTTTTGTGTTCTGTGGTGAGTATGTGAGTGTTGCTGGGAATCCGCTATCTTTTAGGACTGTTTCGTAGTCTTTTTTTTTTAGCTTTGTTAACTATTGATGCATTGGAGGAATTCTCGGAAAGCCTGCGGTTAATTTATTTTGGTATCTGTTTGATTATAGAAGGCGGGTGCTTTGAAGATGTGTGTATATAGAGTGGTTTATGATTGGGGTTTCTGTATGGTTTATATGTGCCTTTTCTTAGGTTTAAGGTAACATCTAGAAAATTTACTTCGTTCAGGTTAGTTTTTATATCTACGTCGAATCCGTTATTTTTGAAAATCGTTATTATTGCTTTAATAGTATTGTCTGTGTTTTGTTTGTTACAGTTTCTTAAAATTAAGAGACCATCGTCCCTCTAGAGTTCTGTGTCATTTCTATCTATTTATTTTGCTTAGTTCGTGTAGTAAGTATATACCTATGATTTCGAGGTCTCTGCACCGCCAAGGCTTCCCGTTGTAGTGCCAAATATCCCATCTTTCTTCATCCATGTTTCTTCATTGTGAAATAGTAATGATTTACGGGAGAGCTTAATGATGTCGATTTCGTTTGGCTTTATTATTATTTGTTCTTGGGCTAAGTTGATGGCAATTTCCTCAGGCTTGACAATTGCGTCTAGCATGACACAGCCTGTCGCCACTGAGTGTTGACTAAATTGTTCACTTTTCTATTTCTATTTACATACGCCCTATCTTTGATATTGAGTACTTTATCCCTTAAATATAGCACACCCTAAAACTATATTTCTTCATATATATATATATATATATATATATATATATATATATATATATATATATATGTGTGTGGTGTGTGTGTATGTATTATACAATTGGAATTCAGATACCATTAGTAAATGATTATTTTCACTCGCGAATTTAAAACATATATACAGAGTGTTCCACCAAAATGTACCCATTTTTAACCTCTTATAATTACAATAAAACCTCTATTCTTTTTTCAAATTCATGAATTTAATATTATGTATAATAATATGAAGCGTTAATTTTCTTTGTAAGGTATTAAACATAAATAATTCTTGTTTTCAACGATTAAACTTGTTTATAAGTCAATAAACATTACATTTCTTGTCATTTATAAAGGGTGTCATTTTTAATACTATAAATACATGCATACATACATATTTATATCTATCTATCTATCTATCTCTCTCTCTCTCTCTCTATCTATATATATATATATATATATATATATATATATATATATATATTATATACGTGTGTGTGTGTGTGTGTGTGTGTAGAAAGTGCTTTAATCACTAAATCATAGACAGTAGATTTGCGTCCAGATTCTCGTATTTCTCCATTCTTAGCAGATCTTCTATTATCACAATGTGGGATATTTAATTTTATTTAAAAGTCATGGAAACATGAACAAAAAGAAACTGAATAAAAACGGCTAGATTATGTACTCTATCTCTCTTTCAATATATATATATATATATATATATATATATAAACAATGACGATTAAACTTACTTCATACAAGAGCCACATATGATAAATGTCAGATGTTTGAGAGCCGTAAGACATGATCAAAATTTAAACATACTTAATTTGTTACATATACATTAACATTAAACATACGTTTTAATCCAATCTAGTCTCAATTCATAGCCAGTAAATTATAAAGCGTGATGCTTTTCTCATTTACCATTTATATCAACCTGCGAGGATGAATCTGACACAGTTTCGTTTCAGAATAAACTATGTGCCTAAAACTGAAGGCGATTGCTCAGTCACCTCGGATATTATTACTGGCATCCACCCATGCTGTTTTGCACAAACTTCTGCAAAAGTGTGGTTTGTACTAAGCTAAGGATTTCAGGGTACCAAGAATCGGTCAACTATTAATATCTTTTTTACTTTTTAATGACATATTACCCCAGGGAGTTGGCAATCTTGGTTTTCTAACTTTTTACCTTTGCCATTCCACTTAGTTTTGAAATCAACATGTCTTTTAAGCGTTAAATTCTTAAGTCTTTCTATCTTCTTTATGTTTCCCATACGTCTCACCTGTCATTTTCTGATTGTGAATATTGGGTCAGAACGAAAGTTAGTAGTGATCTTTAAGTAAATTTCAAAGACAGTATTTAGATATTTCGACATTAATTTCTTTTGCTTTTTAATCATTTCATCCCAAGCACGGCAATAAATCCACTAACACCGCATATGAGAGCATATGTCAAAAAGAAAATAAAGAAAAAAACATTATTAAGAAGTGATAAAAAACAGAATGACTAAGACCAATGATAACGATTGATTGTGTGTTTAAATTTTTGAAGATAAAAATCGACTGGTAAGCAAGAGGCTGCAGTAGAAGCGAGAAGTGCGAGATAAGAAATTGATACTATAAAACTTACGGTTCCATCTAGACATTTCAACTGCAGAATGCAGAGACCTAGCTACTAATTTATTAATCATGATTTGTAACATTTTGTCGTGCCCTCTTTTCGAAATGTATATATGTCAATTTCAATCACGTGAGAAACGAAATCACGTATTCAATTGCCATCTACTGAAAAATCGTTCTGTTCTAAACTAGTATGCACATATGTTCTGTCGGTGGTACTTTTTTGCATTCATTGATAAGACTGCAGCTGTTTTGTCACAAGACTCTTCCGTTATCTATGAGGGGATTGTGTCACATTTAATGCCATGTAGGAGAATAGATATTTATTATATACTGTGCCTATGGCCACTAATGGGTATGTCTCAACCGTCATAAATACGTTGGGCACGGTTATAAGCGGGGCTTTCTAAGTAGTCCAACACTAGCTGTGGTTTACCTACTTCTCGCCGCTGGCGAGTATAGTATTTTGTTGATGTTATAAAGATTACCATTTCATTTCCAACCTCGGTTTTGGTTATTCCCCATTCAGTAACCCTTTCTAGGTTACAACAATCTATCTATCTATCTATCTATCTATCTATCTATCTATCTATCTATCTATCTATCACACTCTGTCCATTATCTATCTATCTATCTATCTATCTATCTATCTATCTATCTTAGTTTGTTCATATCTATCTATCTATCTATCTATCTATCTATCTATCTATCACACTCTTTTTGTCCATTATCTATCCATCTATCTATCTATCTATCTATCTATCTATCTTAGTTTGTTCATATCTATCTATCTATCTATCTATTCATCTATCTATCTATCTATCTATCTATCACACTCTGTCCATTATTCATCTATCTATCTATCTATCTATCTATCTATCTATCTTAGTTTGTTCATATCATCTATCTATCTATCTATCTATCTATCTATCACACTCTGTCCATTATCTATCTATCTATCTGTCTATCTATCTATCTTAGTTTGTTCATATCTATCTATCTATCTATCTATCACACTCTCCATTATCTCTCTATCTATCTATCTATCTATCTATCTATCTTAGTTTGTTCATATCTATCTATCTATCTATCTATCTATCTATCTATCTATCTATCTATCACACTCTGTCCATTATCTATCTATCTATCTATCAATCTATCTATCTATCTATCTATGTCACCCATTGAAAAATCGTTCTGTTATAACCTAGTATTCTCACATGTTCTATCGGTGGTATTTTTTGCTTTTATTATTAAGACTGCAGCTGTGTTGTCTCAAGACTCTTCCGTTATCTTTGTGGCGATTGTCTCACATTCAATGCCATGTAGGAGATTAGATATTTGTTATATACCGTACCAATGAACACTAATGGGTATGTTTCAATCCTCATAAATACTTTGGACACTATTGTAAGTGGGGGCAATATGCTAAGTAGTCTACCACTGTCAGTGGTTTACCTACTTCACGCCGCTGGCGAGTATTGTATTTTGTTGATGCTATAAAGATTACCATCTTATTTCCAACCTCTATTTTGGTTATTCCTTATTCCCCATTCGCCTTTGCATGGCGTATTGCTGCCATTTGTGGTTCGAAGCCCCTTCTGTTAGTCTCAAGGTCCTTGATAAAATCCAAAGACGGATATGCAATGTAATTGGCCCTGATCTCGCATCTCGTCTGCCGTCGCTCTCTCACAGACATGCCGTTGCCTCCCTCTATATTATTTACAAATACTGTCACGGTAAATGCCCCCAGGAGCAGTTTTCTCTGGTTTCCAGACTTCATGAATTTCAGCGTTCAACTAGGCCGGCGTTTCGTTCTCGACCTTTCACTGTTGAAACTGTTAAATGTAGGCGTCTCTTCTACTCCAAAAGCTTCACCATTCGCACTTCTCGCCTGTGGAACCCCGTCCCCATTTTTTGTTTCCTTGATACCTACAATCTCCAACTATTTAAATGTACTGTCAATCGACGTCTCCAGATGCCTTGATCTATCCCCTGTCCTTATCTTTATCCTTTCCTCTATCACTCCTCTTTGCTCTCGCGCCAACTCTAGTGCTAGTGACATTCTGCCTTGCTTGGGGTGAAGCGTTTAAAAAAAAAATCAGTAACACTTTCTACGTTACATAACATTTCAAAAATATTTTCCATCTTTCTGACTGTATTTTTTTATTTCCTCATAATTTGTTTGATTACTGATAGACATATTTCGTTATTTCTGTGTGTCGCCAGGAACTTGTCGTCTGTTACTACACATCCAAAATAGTCAAAATGGCTAAAATCGCTTGCTAGAATTTGCTAGAATTTACCACATCTATCATAGGCTTCCTGAAATATGAGCGATATTTACTCTCATAAATCACCGAAATTTTTGGTTTATGATTCCATTAAGTATTAATTAAGATCATGGTTGTATAAATTCTATGAGAGAATACGATACGTAACGTATTTATTTCAGACAAATTTTGGTTAACTTAATTCTTCCTTTTTATGTGCCATGTCTTTTTAGAACGTAAGCGATCATGGCTCTCCACCTCCTTCTATCGCTTGCAGCTCTCAACAAGTTCCTTTCCTCTGCTTCCTCTTCAGACCACGTTCTGTCATCCACTTGCTTAAGCCAACCAGTTATCTCAAGCGTTCTTTTCCCTTGTCTCTCTTCTCTATTCGACCCGTGTGTATCAGATTCTCCAGACCGTCCTTCCTCATTATGTGTCCCAGGAACTTCAGCTACATCTTCCTGATGATATGTATAAGCCTCCGCCTTCTTTGCACCCTCTCTAAGACCTCATCGTTGCTCACACGCTCGGGCCATGATATCCTTATCCATTCTTCTGTAGAACTACAACTCTGTCGCCTCGAGCCTCTTCTTCATTTTTGAGGAAATTCGCTGCCGTAAAGAAGCATAGATGTCACCAAAGAAATCCTTCTGTCTCGCAATACTTTGTCCAGCTTTTGGAATGTGTCCTTGGCCATCCCAATAAGTCTACAGATCTTACCGTCCTCAATGGAAAAAATGTCATATAGAAAGAAAAAGAATAACTACCAACATAAAGGTTCGATGTTGACACTCTGGATCTATGAATATACATTTTCCGCCAGGTGTCTAAATAGCGGTGTCAGGCTACTGACTGTAGTGATTATTGAGTGACTATTGAGTGGAACTATCCAGTCGAATCAGTGTGAATTATTGTGCGACGTTGATTTTGGGGTTTGATTTAGAATTTACCAAACTTTAAGCCGAACCGCGCCGTTAAAAAGGTGTTCTTTTTTTTTCATTTTCATAAGCATTTTAACCCATGGAAAGCATGGGTTTCACTAGCACGCAAGGGGTTACAAAGAGTGAGGTCAAGATTAAACAGGGATATTTGAGTAAAGGATCTAGATAAGAACAGTGATCAGGATCAATGCATCAGGAGATGTCGATTGACATTACGTTTTAATATTTGAAGGTTATATCACTGAAAGGGTTAATTATCTTTGGTTGACTTTTAATTCTTTGTTCTTGTTGAGTATTTATTTTCGGTTTTAATTAAATACTAACTCATTTAACATTGAAGTCTTGAGTTATACTTAATTATTAACGGCTACCGTAGATCAAAAAAAAAAAAAAAAAAAGGAAAGAAAAAAATTCTATGTAACGCGTTTCGTTCTTCGAAACAGCTTCAGACTAATTTTATAGTGAGGAGATAATATATATCTTGTACAGTTATAAGTCTATCATTCGTCTGTGTATCGAATATTTCTGCCACACATGGTCCGGAACTTATGCTTTATATCAAGTGATTCTGTGGGATTATCAGGTGAGCAACTCATTCGCAACATATCTCAATTGTTGGACCAATTCCACCTTTCTTGGAAAAGTCTTGTGAACCTACACGTCGTCAAATGCCTCTGGAGATGTGATAGAAATTCCGTCCTGAGTCTAAATTGTCACTTAAAGCTTTATCGGAAATGGTAACTATTTTCACAAATCGATGGCTTGGCATTTCTAAATAAAAAAAAAAAAGAAAGAAGAAGAAAAGATCAGCCAATAAGTTTTCTGCTTGTCTTTGAAGAGGAGAATGTTGGTGATAAGCGAGGTGGAAAGGAAGGACGTGCAGCAAGTAAAGAGGGGGAGTAAGGAATACAATGAAGTCAATTTTGGAACACGGATGAATTCTATTGGTTGCATCGATGCAGGAAAAAAGAAAAGAGGATTGGCGCTTGGTTTGGGGGAAGAATGGGGCAAAGGTGGAAGTGCTAATTTCGATGGCGAACCTAGAGGGGAAGGAAAAGGAAAGACAAAAAATAGGGTGAAAGTGAAAACAAAAGAATAAAAAAGCACGAATGAATGAAAAGCGCAGATAAGAAAAAAGTAATGAAAGGAAAAATTAAGTGTGAAAACAAATGAAACGAATGAAACAAAGAAATGAAAAGTTAAAAATAGAAGGAAGGAAGGAAATAAATAATGATTGGAGAGGGGGTTAATCAGGAAATAAAGAAAGAATAAGAAAAGGACTGGAAAGAAAGAAAGAAAGAAAGAAAGAAAGAAAGAAAGAAAGAATTGTGAATGGGGAAATGACTGCAAAGAGAAAGAAACAAGAAAGAAAAAATAAGGAAAACACTGAAAAGAAAGAAAGAAAGAAAGAAAGAAAGAAAGAAAGAAAGAAAGAACTGTGAATAAGGAAAAGAGTGGAAAGAGTAGAAAGAGAAAGGAACAAGAAAAAGGAAACACTGAAAAGAAAGGAAGGAAGGAAGGAAGGAAGGAAGGAAGGAAGGAAATAAATAATGAGTGGAGAGGGGGTTAATCAGGAAATAAAGAAAGAATAAGGAAAGGACTTGAAAGAAAGAAAGAAAGAAAGAAAGTAAGAAAGAAAGAAAGAAAGAATTGTGAATGAGGAAATGACTGGAAAGAGAAAGAAACAAGAAAGAAAAAAATTAATGAAAACACTGAAAATAAATAAATAAATAAATAAATAAAGAACAGTAAATAAGGAAAAGACTGGAAAGAGAAAGAAAAAAGAATAAGGAAACATTGAAAAGAAAGAAAGAAAGAAAGAAAGAAAGAAAGAAAGAAAGAAAGAAAGGAGAATACGAAAAGACTAGAAAGAAAGAGAGAAAGAAAGAAAGATAAAAGAATAGGAAAAGACTGGAAAGAAAGAAAGAAAGAAAGAAAGAAAGAAAGAAAGAAAGAAAGAACGAACTGTGAATAAGGAAAAGACTGGAAAGAGAAAGAAAAAAGAATAAGGAAACATTGAAAAGAAAGAAAGAAAGAAAGAAAGAGAGAAAGAAAAAAGAACGGAGATATTTTCAT